CTAGATACTATGAGCATTTAGTGGGAAGAGGCCGGGGATAGTGCTTGACATCATCCAAGAACAGGATCGCCCAGAAATACCTGGCCCAATCTGCCAATGGTAAGAAGCCCTGGTCTGGAGGACCAGACTCTTAGAATTTGTGGATCTAACTCTTGTTGCGGGCCAATACGTCTCAATGCTTCCTCCATCAAAACAAGTGGAGGGTTATTTTTCGCCTTTGTTACTCCCAGAAGTAACAGAAGTTCATTACAGCTTCAACATACAGAAAGACAAGCGGCAGGTGGAAATGCTTCCCAAGTTTGCTAGCTGGGCCTCTCTTCCCATCAGAGATACTAGGGCAGAGGACGGATGGCTTAGGAGAGCGCTTCTCTAACTGGAGCATACATAAATGAGAAGCACCTGCAAATAAATGCTCGTTAAATCACAGGTTACTTACTGAATCCCACCCCTCAGAGATTCCATAGGCCTTGGCAAGACCTAAGGTATTGGTTTCTAGCTAGCTCCAACGTGATTCTGAGAATACCAGGCGGCAGGGACCACGCTGGTTATTTGCAAATAACTCTGAAGGCCATGTACACCCTTTATGGGTCTCTAAATGCCGCCACCTTTTAGTTTCCAAGTACATGAAAGTTCACTAAATATTTCATGTCAAGCAGTTTATTGGCGCAGAATAGGCATAGTGACAGTAAAAGATCATATATGACAGGTCAACAAAACAGAAAGGACACACACACACACCAAACAAACAAGCAAAAACAAACTTGAAAGGCAAGAGGAGTGAATCGTGTTTCTTACCTGGGGATATCACTATGATCATGAAAGTTATAAAAAGTATAAACGATATTAATCAGCAGGATCACCCCCATAACGAAAGCATCTAAGGAGTTAAGGATATCAGAAAAGTAATGTCGTACCCTATAACATAAAACAAAGCAAGTTAAGTTGATCCCTCCCCAAAAGAGAAGGGAATATCTTCAGAGCACACATTATTTGACTCATCCTCCTTAAGAGTTCAAATTTGTTGTATCCTTCCATGCATTCCATGGTCTGTGCTTAAGAAAAGGAAGAAGAAGGTTTGGTGACTATTAATGGTGAGTCTCAAAAGGGCAGTGACAAGGGTTGGGCCACATGAAGACTGTAACCAATGTCACTGAGCTACGCATGCCGAAATTGTTAGATCGACACATTTTGTTATGTACACAAAGCAGATCTAATACAGCACCCTGATTTTTTAAGGAAGGAAATTTATACTCATTGTTTTATAAACCTCTACGACAAAAGCAGTAAGGTGGAAATTTCAGTAGGGACCGTACGTGATCTAGCTAAAGCACCGAACAAAAGGTATAAACATGATCTTCACATTGGTGGGAAAAGAAGGGCATCAGGAGGCTGGGCAGTCTTGTTGGGCAGTGGACCCTGAACAACCAGAGCAACTAGGACTGTGAGGAGAGTCCAGAGAGTTTGCGAGAAAATTTGCTCTTTGGGTCTGCAAACTCGTTGTCTGGGGACACACTAGAATGGGTTGGATTTTTCTTTTTTTTAAAAATGTTAGCACATGAGCTAAGCTTAACTCCCATCTACCATGTCTGCCTCCCCAAAGCCGGCTCCTTCCTAGCACGGACAATTTCTCCAGGGAGGGCTCATCGCAGACTCTGAGTACCTGGCACCAGGCAACCCTCCTTCCCTCAAAGGCTTGAGGATAGACGTTCGGAAGAGGAGACACCCTGTGTTCTGAGATGCTCTGGGTGAAGTGGGGGTGGACAACTCAGTCTCTAATTCCCACAGCTGTCCAGTACTGAGTCTTGGGTCACATCCGTCCACCTCCTCACAAAGGCAGCAAGTTGAGAAAAGTTAGCAAGCCCCAACTGACAGCACGGGCATGTATCCATCCCCTGACCACTTTAAACAAAGTTTTGTTTCACTGAGATGGGGAGTTTCCCAGGCCATGCTATCTAGTATTTAGTTATCAACTGTCAGGTAGGACTCCGCTGTGAATAAAATTATTCGTCATTGCTCACCTATGTTGCTGTCATACAGCTATTAAATCTTTATAGCGCCACGTGTGTTGCTCTTAGGCACCACTGGATCATTTCAGCAAGGGTCTTCCTCTTTTTCTGAGGAGCCCTGGTGGCGTAGTGGTTCCAAGTTGGGCTGCCAAGCACCAGGCTAGCAGTTCGAAACCATCAGCAGCTCCTTTGGAGATAGATGAGGTTTTCTACTCCTGTGAAGAGCGACAGTCTGAGAAATTCAAAGGGGCAGTCAGATTCTGTTTGATAGGGTTGCTTTGCACCGAGTTTGGTTTGGACTGGGCCTGGTGCTTTCCCACGCGTGATGCCCTTTTCTAGAAGCTTCTCCCTCCTGATAACACACTCCACCTACTCGAGATGAAGTCTAGCCATCCTTGCTTCTAAGGAGCAGCCTGTCTGTCCTTCCAAGATAGATGATTTCATTCTTCTGGGGGTAGGCTTCACATTCTCTGCCCACGCCATCATGCAAATGGATCCGCTCTTCTCCACTCGTTCTTAGTCATTGTCCGTCGTTCGCCCGCAGAGGAGGCTACTGAAAATATCTTGTCTTGGGTCAGGTATCTCTTAAATCTTCAAAGGGATGTCTTTGCTTTGCAACGCTTTAAAAGAGACTCTTTTTGCTGCTGCACCAGATTTGCCCAGTGCAATACGCCGTTAGATTTCCTGACTGATGCATTCCCGGGCACGGATTGGGGAGCCAAGGAAAATGAAATCCTGGACTGCTTCGATCTTTTCCATTTCCTGTAATGTTGCCACTGGGGGGCGCAGTGTGAGGTGTGTTTCCTTTGTGGCCTAGTGTGGTCTGTACTGAAAGCTTTGACCTTTGTGGCCTAGTGTGGTCCATACTGAAAGCTTTGATCTTTGTGAGAGAGTGCTGCAATTCTTCTTTGCTTTTTGCAAACACTGTTGTGTTACCATCATCGGTAATGCAGGTTGTTCATGAGTTTTCCTCTATTCTGGATGTGGCATGCTTCTTGGATATAATTTCAATTATAGATATTCTGATTATATATATCATATATATTCAATATCTATTCTGATTACTGGCTCAGAATACAGATTGAATAAGTATGGTGAAAGGATAAAAACCCTGATGCATACCACTCCTGAATTTAAACCACAAAATATCTTCTTGTTCTATTAGAATCCTACCTTTTGGTCTTTGTACAGGTTCTCAATGAAGACAATGATTGTGCTCTGGGATTCCCATCCTCTACAATGTTAGCCTTAAAGTATTATGATACACACAGTCAGATGCCTTTACACAGCAAATGAAATACAGGTGAACAATTATCTGGCATTCTCTGCTTTCAGCCAAGAGCTATCTGCTATCAATCATGATGTCCCTCATTCCGCATCCTCTTTTGAGACACATAAATGTTCCAGCTGCCTTGTTCCATTTTTAAAGCCCCCTTTAAGCTTTATCTTTCAAAAGGTCCATCTACAACATGTTATCTGGGACTGGAGTGCCAGCGATAATAAGGATACTATTAAACATATTTATGAAAAATATGTTTATTTTTCATAAAATGTGGACTATTGCTCCTCTTGGGCCATGACTTTGAAGAGAATTCTTTAGGTATAAAGGGGTACATTTGATTGTGTTAAACTTGGTAATTATTTGAGGATGCTTCTTATTGCTTTATGCATACAATGTAATCAAACTTACCCTTCTACATATATTCGAAGAAGAACATCCATGAGGAAAAATGAAGCAATGGCTAAGGAAATCAAGCGATATCCAATAGAAACCAGTTGTGATTTTCCATGGACAAAAGGGTCCATCAGGACCACAAGCACATCCACAAAAACCAGGATGACTCCAAATATTCTAAAACAGACCAAAATAATTTAATTAAAAACAAAGACATCTTCACCCCAATGGACAGATTGGGAGGTGCAAACGGTGAGGCTGCCTAGCTGATGACAGAAAGTTTGGAGGTCCGAGTCTTCCAGAATGCTCCGTGGACGAAAAACCTGGCAACTTAATTCCCCCCAAAGGAACCAATGAACACCCTAGGGAGTGTGGTTCTACTCTGAGAGACGTCGGTCTCCCTGATCTGGGAGTCAACGCGACAGCAACTGGCTGTCAGGCTACACTATGACCAGATACCGAATGCTCCTGTGTCGGGTGAAAGTGTTGGCTTTGAACCTGATTTTTTTTAAATTACTCAGTTTTCACTCCAGAGGAGGAGTTGTTAGGGAAAGTTTTATTCTCACCAAACCACATCAGAATAGATCATAAGGCCCTTGTACGGCCAACACTGATAGGGCCCTGCTTTCTGTGTCCTACAGGCTGACAAAGCCAGCGAGCTGAATCAAAATGCCACGTCTCTGTCCATAAACCAAATGAAAGCGTGAGCTAGCATAAACTTTTAAAAGACCACCCTCATCAGTAATAATATTGTTTGTTCAGTGAGATTTTGCAAAAAGAATTACATATTCATGGATGCTTCTAACACAGAGATAGAGGTACATAGAAAAAATTCAATCCTATCACTTTCCCACAGTTGGATTTTAAAGTACCACCTAAGCCTTTCTCTCCCATATTTTAAATAATTCACCCAAGACTGCATAATCTATTAGTCTTTGAAGTATTTTTGTAATAATTCAAGCTCATTAAAATATTATTAGTTTAAAAAGAAGCAATTATATTATGTAGAGACAATTCTGGATCTGTAGGGTGCTTAATTTAAAAAAACTTTACTTAAACCTTTAGAGTTTTTACATCCAGCCTTCATTAATTTTACTTTCACAGGTAGAAAAACATTTATATTAATATGTCAGCATTAGACTTAGGAAGGTGCCATTTCTTTGAGAGTCCCAATGTCTAGCATAAACAAACCTTCTAAGAAAATGAGAATATATTAAATGGGACACCTCAGACAGTTCAATAACATATTGGCTGTGTCATTTGGAAGGGCTTTGTTCTTTAGTCTGTTTTGTTTTTATTCCTTTTCAGATGGTTTCTCATTTAAAAAAAGAAATATTCAGTTACATCCATACCTGAATAAACATGATGACACAATTGAATTCACAAGTCTCTCTGTCTTGTTACTGAAAATATAAGTAGACATTAATAAATCTCTAGCGTCTCCACATTTGGCACAGATTTCTACTAACAACAACAAAACCCAGCAACGACTAGGAAAAAAACATAGAAAAATTTCAAAAAAGAAAGCTGAAAATATTTAAGACTCAAAGGACTTTAAAATGGGACAAGAGGGAGATCAAATAATAAGGCATTTCATTTTACCTTAACTCACTCACCTGCCATTGAGTTGATGCCAACTCATATGAGTTAACCTAACGACAACTGCCGTAGTAGTCTCTAGAACGTTCTCTGATAGCGAGGCTATTCACATCCCCTGACTATGGTCAGAGAAGGTTCACCGGAGGCTTGATCCATGCAACACAATTATTATAGAATAGCCCATAGTACTTCAAAGAGCAAATTGGTTTATTGTTGTGGTGGGAAAAAATTCCTTGGCACAACCTGCCTGCTCTTTTCTCACCAATGCAGTTTTCCATTTTCTTGGAAGTTCTTCCTAATAAGGCGCTGTGATCATCCTGTGTCCTTGGAGAACAATCAATCAGTATTGCACCTTGGGAGTCCCCCAACCTTCTGAATTGACTGCTTGGCCTTGTATTTAACTGGCCCAGCAGATTCTCTGAGATGTCCCTGTTTTGATTGGGCCTTCCTCTCTGTATCATATTGGTAAGTCCAAGACTCACCTTCAGTTATGATTCTTTCCATAAAACTCTCTCTTATTAGCTTCCGTCCTGCTTAAAAGACTCGGGGAGAGATCAGCTCTTTGAGCTATCAGATCTTCACCCAAGGCGTCGTTGGCACGCAGGAGCCAGAAAAGCTTGCTCAGGCCAAGATGTTCACATAAAAACTAAAAATATCAAATTAGGAGATCCCCACCTTCAGTAGCTATCACAGCAATGGTAACTCTACAGCCTTCTTACATCATTTCCTGGAATTCACCCACAGTTTCTTCACTCATCAAGGTCAATGGTCTTCCCTCTCTTGACTCAGCTTTGAGGGTTTTCCCACATTCCTTAAAACCCGTGATCCCATCTAAAATTTGTTGTTTTACGTGGTGGTGGCAGCCCCGTAAACGCAACTCATTGTAAAGTTTTAATGATCTGGGAAGAATGTCCACTTGAATTTTATTAGAATTTGGCTATTTGGGCCTCATCACGACTTCCCATTTCAGAATAGAATTGCTCCATGGGGTTTTCCTGGCTGTAAAGTTTATGGAAGCAGACCATCAGGTGTCTCCTCCACAGAGCGGCAGGGTGGTTTGAACCACCAACCTTTGGATTAGCAGCTGATCGTATGCAACTTTCTAATTTGTCTCCAACTCAAAACCAAACCCATTGCCGTCTGTCTCAGAGGGTTTCGGGGCTGTAAATCTTGATGGGAGCACACAACCTTCTCCCATGGAATGGTTGGTGGAGATAAACAGCTGTTAGCAGCCCAGTGCTCTGCCTGCTGCATTCCCAGTGCTTCCTTAACAAATGGCTACAGTGATGGGCTCACTTCCCCTCGGGCATGATTCAGTCTCTAACACTGATGTAAGCTAGGAAGTGATTAAGTAACTCCTCAAAAGAGAAGCCATGCAAAGGCCTCATGAATATTTCTGCCAGTCCAGACACGCTATAAACATATAGTATCCTAATAGTGAGTTGAGATAGTTAAGGTTTATTGTGCCAACCTGGCCGATAAGCACACGTGGGATTACTTGAAGAGTGGAGAGCCTCGCCTTTCTAGTTCTGTGGTCTCTTGCTTTCTGATGGTGGGACCAGTATGCAACTGCTTTAGTTAGTTCTCTAC